TGGTGGGGCACAGCTCCCACAGATCTGTGTTCCAAGAACAGAGGCATTGCTGAAAAACTTGTGGAGCTTTTTGTTTTGAGGATGGACTGCCATGCTGATGTGCATAAAGGGCCTCTTTGCTCTCCTACTTCAGAAGTATTGGTGTTAGTGGGGTGAGGCGGTTTTCTCTTATGTAGGTAGGAGGTGTTTCTGATCTTCTGATGGTTGAAACAGTTTCTCCCATCCCTATTGTAGAGAATCAAACTTGGCTGGATGCAATGGCTCACATGGTAATCCCAGTACTTTGGGAGGCCGAGGCAGGAGGATTGCTTGACCCCAGGGGTTGGAGACCAGCCTGAGCAACACAAAAAGACCTCACTTCTACAAACAGTAAGAAAAATCAGCCAGGCATAGCAGCACATGCCTGTAGTCCCAGCTACTCAGAAGGCTGAGGTAGGAGAATACCTTGAGCCCAGCAGTTTGAGGTCCAATGAGCTATGATCTTGGCACAGCCCAGGCAACAGAGACCCTATCAGTAAAAATAAATAAATAAATAAATGAAAATGTTGATCTTAATACCTGTAGGAAAAAAAATGAATTCTGCCCAAATATTAGACAATCTATGGGAAGGGTGAAGATTCTAAGTTGAAATATTAATGAACCAGCTGACGTGGGCCCATATATAATATGGTTGGGGGAAGTCGAAATTCTTACATTGCTGTTCTATCACTTTTTCCTTGTAGATGTGAGACACTAAAAAAAAATCTATGAAAATTCACATTTATATCCATATCCATCCTATCACACAGTGCATTTCAATTAATGACTATATCTTAATAGTTGCTATGAAAATTTTAAGCAGGTAGGAAATGATCACTTTCACTGGTGGCAGGCCCCTAAGTCAGCGACGACATGCCATCCGGTGGGACACATTGCCTTTGGGTCCCACCTTTTGGATCTTGATGGGGAACTTTCTGAATCTATCTTCTTTAACACCAGCTGCCATAGAATTTTGTCACATAATGTGCTATACAGGGTGGCCATAAAGTTTGTGTGCAATTTCAAATACTGTACAACTTTAAATTACACACAAACTTAATGGTCATCTTGTATAATAGTAATGAACTCAAAAAGTTAATGTATGCAGATACGTATGCACAACCCTGTGTGTATATGACTATTTCTCATTCAACGCACTGAAATGAGAAAGTAACTGGCCTGTACGCTTCAAAAATATTGTTATGAAATACAAAGAAGGACCAAAGAATTGTTCCTGTTTAGAGACTAGAGACAGCTAAATGCAATATGTGAACTTGGACTGGATCCTAGTGTCAGGGTGGCGTGGGTTGGGTTGGAGGTGAGGGTGACTGCTATACGGACACTATCAGGACAAGTAGAGATTCGATGGTAGCATCGTATGAAGTTTTAAGTTTTGAATTGATCCTTGTGCTGTGCTTATATAAGAGAACAACATGCTTTAAAGAAATATACATTAAAGTATTGAGATTTAGAGGAGTATTGCACCTATGAGTCCCTCTCGAGCATTTCAAGGAAGAATTGTGATAGACAGAGAGCTGAGCAACACACATGTTAACAACTGGTCAATCTAAACGAAAGGTACTCCTAAGTTATTTGTATTGGCGCTCTTGCAATTTTTACATAAGTCTGGAAATCTGTAGATGAGTTCCAAGAATACATGAAAACTAAATTAAAGTCGTGTGTGTATGAACGTGATAAGGTGAACCCAGCCTTGGCATCATGTCCTTTTCTGCTGTCCAGAGATTGCCCATTACGCGAAAGCAGAGTGCAGCTGGGTCGCTGCTGTGTGCATAGTGCTCACCCCCGGGGGGATGTTCAATAAATTGTTTGTGGAATTCAGAAGAACATGGTAAAGAGTGCAGGAAAATTATTGATACCAATACAGCTCTCACTTTCTTCCTGCCAGCTCCACTGTAGCACAACTTACCCACAAATGTGCTGAAGTTTGCACTGAGTGAGCCCTGGGAGTTGTTCTGTGACATCGTTCTGGCCTCATGGACCAGGAGGTCTTGGCCCCACACGTTGGGAAACACCTTCCCAGAACTGACCAGTGTGGCTTCATTCCAGAAGACGTCATCTCTCAATGCTATCTGAATGTGTTGGAACACACCAACAAGAAAACCCATTCAATATTCACCATCAAAAACCCTGTATTTGCGTATGGTGCCCCCATGAGCTCCTTTCAGATATCATCAGTCATTTCTTGCAATTAAAGAACACTTACTAAGACAAATATTTTTTTAAAGGAAGAAAAACAAAAATGTCGGCATCCCCGACATCAGATCCTATGGGTCTGAAACCTCTTAGGATGCACGTGGCAGAGAACTGACATTTCGTAAACATTAATGGCATTAAGCTGGAAAATAAGCCCTTAGATTTAAAAAAAGATGAGGAAAACAAAGCATGTGAATGACATAAAGATATGAGTGCATAAGCCTAGTAGCCAAGCTGATGTCAGCATCTGCTGGAAAGGCGTTATTAGCATGTATTAGTGGAACCACAGGAATTTTGAAGCCGACCAGATGGTGGCTCAGATGCCAGCACCTCCATTAACAACTTGTGTGATCTTGGGCAAGTCGTCTAATTTCTCTAGGAGCTAGCTCTACTTAAATAATAGGAGTAATAATACCTTTCTCAGAACATGACTGTGAGGTTCGTTTGGTCAGTGCCAAGGACCAGAGACATCTTGGCTCAATACATGGTAGCTCTTACTACCTTTACCAAGAGTGTGCAGGAGCTGGGTCTGAGAGGGGACTTTAAAGCATGTTTTTTTCACTAACACAGAGCTCCCCAAAGGCCTGGTGACCACAAATGAAAGCTTAACTCAAAGACAGTAGAGTCTTCAAAAGGAACAGAATTAAAGTAGGGCTTGTCCTTTCAGGCTGGGGTACAAAGAGCCATTAGTTAATTCAGCAAATATGTCCTCTGTAAACCAGCTCAGCTCAGTTGGAGAGATCGCTTTGAAGTAGTGCCTTGAATTGGGTCCAATGGGGAGTTTGAGCTTCAGCGACTCTACCTGTTCCAAAAAGTCATCTAAGAAACACCCCAGGAGAAGCATTCAGGAAATCAACTATTACCCCCTAGAGCTGAAGCCAGCTGCCTGAATATGATTACAGATTGCTCGGGTCCATTTCAAATGAAGTCTCAGGAAGTCCATGGGCATAGCAAGATTCGGAGTATTTAGGAGAGACTGCTGTCTCATTGTTACTGTGTGGATGTTGAAGGAAGAACAGAAAACCAATACCCTTCCTACTGCATCGGTTCACGTGTTCGCCACCAATATGCAGTATCTCTTTCCTTCTTATTGGTTATGTGGCTTTGGATCAAAAAAGCAGGATGGGAATTTGGAGAAGTTACTTGATTTCACAGGACCCACTTATAAACAGTAATATTCACTTGGCAGTTTTGCTCCAAGGGTTCATGGAGCGAGTGTGTGTAAAGGGCTCTGGCACTTGGTGGTAACTCAGTAAATCTTAGTTCCCCTGTACACTGAATGTAAAGGGAGCCAAGTGAGAGAACCAACGGAAAGCCAGGAGGGTATAGGTTTCTTTACGCACAAAAACATTAGTGGAGCCGTTTTAAAAAAGCTTTACCCTAGGGAATTGATACAAAGGAATCAACATCCTTTGCAATTACCTTCCACCCACTGGCTGCAGCTCCTAACACATAAGAGGGGCTGGCAAGGAATTGCTGTTCCCTCCTAAGTTCTGGGAATTCATGCTGTTGGCTCTGCAGACCTCAACCTCCATTGGGTTGGTAGCTTCTATGTTGAACTTGGGCCTCAGCCAACGTCTGAGCTCCAGCCTTAAGTGAGATCGGCTTAGAGTGGCAGGCACCTGGCTCTGGGGGAATAGAATTTTCTCCTGTTGGTGTGGAGTGTAAGTCTCTGGCTTTAATAACCTCAGTGTACATGGAGCTACGTGGTCTCCCAGTTTATACCTATTGTCTCAAAGGAACTAGCATCTTCTTTCCTTCTCAGAAGTGACCCAGTTTAGATGACAAATTATATGGTCACTTGCTATGCCCATAAAAATGCAAGTCAAAGCAAAGTGGTGGGCATGATTCAGGGGCCAAGAAGAAGTTTGAAAATAAAAGGCTTAAGGGAATTAAAATTTGATTTTTAACATCGAGGAACCGGTGCTACCTGCAGATTTTCACTTGGTTCAAGTAGCTGCTAATGATTAATTCAAAATCGGTATCAAGACGAGCACACCTACTCCCAGGGGTCCTCTCTAGGGAAGGAAGAGAAATTTGTGTGTATGTGCGTACACACGGGAGAGAAAAAGGCAGTGGTGTGCAGGTGGTAAATATTTAACAACCGGCTCTTGGGAATAGGGAGGGTGAATAACTGAGCATGGGACTTGGAAAGAGATAGGAATAATAAATTCTTGTGAGCTGGCCCAGCACACTACTGAAGAAAGTGGACTTTAATGCATACTTTGAACAATTTTTTGGTAATGTTTTACCTGTACTAATGCTGGATGCATGCTATATATGTGTATGCACTCTACCTATACAGCTATACCTATATACATATATAAACTTACATCTATATTGATGCAAGATTAGTCCTCATGGTGATTTTCCTAATTTTTGTGTAAATCTCCGTGAAACACCCACTTGAACACGTAACCTATCAGTTTGCTGTGAGGTTCCACATGACCACCAAAGGATGGAATGTTCACCTCGCTGTGGATTACCAGGATTTGTACCGCGAGCTCACATCTAGGATCATAAACCATCTGGCTTCAGGGTTGAGACAGAAGGCTAAGTGGAAAATTTGAAAATGGTCGGAGGGTGAGAGGACAAAGTAAAATGTAACTTGGGCAAGGAGGGGGGCGGAAATGTGAAAGTTCAAATGGTGAGAAAAATAAAATGGGAGGAGAGAAAGGTGGCAGTCGCTGTTTATCGATCTCGCTTTTGCTCGGAATCAAAGTGCGTCTAGGTAGCTTCTCGCAAGAGCGGGAGGGGAACGGGGAAGAAACAGTCTGTACTCTCATTTATTGAATGCAGCTTTCGTTGGTCACATTGCAGCTCAATACAAACAGCCCAGCAGAGGGTTGGGCGTGAACTCTGGTTCTCATCAATGTAAACACAACATTAATATTGAAGATAAAAGAAAATGGGTAAAAAGTCCAGTGTCTCCTCGATCTGTGTAAAGGTAAAGGTGCTTGCCTACCCTGGGATAGGTCCCAAAGGGAGACTGAGGTTGTCACTTCTTCCCTTCCACAGTGAAGCAGGCAAGAACGCAGAGGTCTTCCAATGGACGTGTGAATTTTCAGAGTTGGGCTCGCATGAATTATTCAAGTTCTCCTAAAGGCCTGAGAGGGTCGTACCTTTTGTGTGCGCTGAAACAGTTCCTTCAAAGCCCTTTCCTGGGGATCAGTCGCTGCCGGTAGAAAACATGACTGGGTGGGGTAGAACAGCCGGCCCTCATCACCCCACAGTCCTCACCACAGCCCCTGGATTCTGGAGAGCAGGGAATTCAATCGTGGGAGCCCCGGTGACGATCCTGAAGGAAGCTGCCCATGTTTAAGGACTGGCCAACACTCTCGCCCTCCTGGCTGGGCCACTGCTGAGAAAGGGCGTTTGAGGCAGCTGATTTTCCTTAGAGCCTCGAGAGATCCGATTTTCTATTTTGGATAGCCAGACCAAAAACAAACAACCAAATCTCCCAAAGTGAAAACAAATCAGAATGAAATAAGAGGGACTTTGGGGATAAGGAACCAATTGACCCGACCTCCAGGACCCCCCAGAGACAGTGTCCCCATCGGGTTTTCCAAATGGTGGGTTCAGATCATTGATTCGCCCTGCCCCTTTGGGTACGAAGCTTAATTGCAGGGGGAAAGAGAAAGTATCCTTTAAAGGAATAGATGGTTTTGCTTTTATTTCCTGGGATGACTAAGCTCCAGCACCCTGACATCCCTTCCTCCCCAGCCATGATGAGCATAGTTATTAAAAAGCAACAGGAACACCCCAAAGCCCTGCCTTGGTTTTGTGGCTTTGCGGTAACAAGGATAACCCCTGTACTTCCTCTCACCCCACCACGCCCCCTTTCTTGGCTCTCTTTCCACCCTTTGGAAATGCCGGGTAGGGGCGGAGAGAGGCTGGCTGGGTCCTTGTCCAAGATCTCTGCAGTGAGGGCAGCTTTGGTGGGCCAAAGAGACAACTCAAAACAAACCGAAAAGCATTGCTTGACTTGGAATTTGAAGGCGAGGCCCCCAACAGCGAGTGGCTCTTCCTGGCAGCGTGTCTCTCCCTAGTGGCGGCTTCTTGGTGCTAGCTGTTCTTCTCAGCCGTGAGATATTTCAGGGCAGCAAAGCCGTAGCGGCGGGACATGTCCTGCTGAAACTCTTCCTTCAGGGTTTTGAGACAGATGCGGTATTGCTTGTTGGAACGGAACTTAGTGATGTCGAAGCTGGGGGCATGAGGCATGTGGATCATGTAGGCATTGGGCAGCACGGTGAACTCGTATTCCTGGAAGAAGATAAGGACAGCATAAGGAGGGGCAAGAACCTCCGTGACACAGGGCCAAGGCCAAGTGAATGACCGTGTGAATGACTGACCTGAAGAGTGCAGGCCAGCACTCGGGCAGTCAGCAGCTATGGGCAGGACAGTACAGGGCTGTTTCCATGACCTTGGAGAAGACACTCAGCCTCTCTGAGCCTTTATTTTCTCATGTATAAAGTGGAAGTTATAATATCTGCCTTGAAGAATGACCAGGAGGATGAAACCAATAATAACACGTGGACAGTGCTGAGGAGAGCTCATGCCCCCTGAAAGGTTCTTGATAAAGATGTGCTCACATCCATGTGGACAGATGACGCAAGCCATGGGACATTCTCATGCTCAGTAACTGATGGTATCTGTTGCCAGGCATGGTGGCTCATGCCTGTAATCCCAGTATTCTGAGAGGCCAAGGCAGGTAGATTGCTTGAGCTCAGGAGTTTGAGACCAGCCTGAGCAAGAGGGACACCCCGTCTCTACTAAAAATAGAAAAACTAGCTGGGTATTGTAGCAGGTGCCTATCAGCTACTTGGGAGACTGAGGTAGGATGATCACTTGAGCCCAAGAGTTTGAGGGTGGTTGGGAGCTACGACACCACGGCACTCTACCCAGGGTGACAGAGTGGGAGCCTGTCTCAAAATCAATCAATCAATCAAACAGACAAACAAACAAAACCTGATATCAGTTTATGTGATTCTTCACAGGACTTGACAAGATCTGACAGCCTCAACAGATTAGTACAAAAGAGGGGACCAAAAAAAAAGAACAAAACACAAGATGAAAATAAAAACAAATGTTCCATTGAACTTAGCTCATCAAGAATAAAACTCTCCCTGATATATGCTATTCCAAGTTACACCATCATACAGTATCCTCAACGTGGCAGACTCCAGCTAAATCCTGAGACCAGAAATAAAGGGCCTCTGAAGAGCCAAAATAGGCGACACGAATTTAGGTCACAAGGCTTGTGGCTCAGAGGAGCAGCCAGAACATTTGCACTCCGGTCTCTTTACTGATTTTAGACATCTTGTCTCGTAAGCTTGGGTCATCCAGTTTCCCAGATCAGGGCAGATGGGAATAAATTCAGAAAGGGAAAATCAGAATAGACAAAGGTAATAGGTGGAAATACACAGACAGGAGCAAGAAATGACAGGAATGAGTGAGAAAAAGTATAAAAAGGAAATGCAAGACCTCTCAGAGCTGAGCTGTCAGGACCTTTCATGTAGAGACAAAGAGCCCAAGCTACCGCCCCTGTGGGCGTGGCTGCCCTACTCTGTGCACGGTGGGCGTGGCCGCACTACCTGGCACATGGTGGGTGTGGCCGCACTACCCGGCTCAGGGCTAGCAATTTTCTCCAGTCACTAGGACGGGTAAAATTATGTTTGGCATGTGCTATTGGCAGAGAAAGAAAAACAGGCAGCAATTTTTCAACAATTCTGTGAAAACTGTCTAAAACAAAGCCCAGGTCTCAGTGCTGGAAAAATTAACTTTCTTTGAAGCAGTGAGCCTCACAAGAATGCTGGACACATGAATATTATATTTGTTTTCTTTCAAACTGAAGCCAAGGCCGCCTAAACATTGTTGTGAGCTGCGCTGCACCCAGTCCAAGTATTACTGAAAATGTGGATAAGAACAGCTGTGCCTCTGTCATTAAATATGAACTCTGTTCCTCAACCTCCATCTGCTTTCTCAACCATCACCTGAGACTGCTCTCAGGCTGACTAGAACTGCTGGAAAGTTCTCTTGGCAATTCTTGTGAACGGCTAGCACTGAGTATCCACCTGCAATTTAGCTTGAATTGGAGTTGGTCTCCTGGAAACATATTGGCAATGAGCTCCAGGAGGAGATTCCTTGGAGAAGGGTGTACAAAGATACAAGGGTGGGGTTGGGGGATCCAGGTATCTTTCTCTTAACTTCACCAGAGCAGCTTTGTATTAGTCTAACACAGGAACTGACAAACCATGGCTCGTCTGACCTGCTGCACGTTTTTGTAAATAAAGTTTTACTAAAACACAGACATACCCATTCATGTGAAGATTGTCTATGTCTGAACTACAGTGGCCGAATTGAGAAGCTGAAAAGGAGACCTGTAGGCCCCCATGAAGCCCCAAATACTATCTGGTCCTTTACAGAAAAAGTTCGCTGATCACTGCTTTCGCCTATTAGAATTCTGTAGAACATTCTTTTTGAAGGAGGTGCTCAAGAAGGATTAGCTGAATGAATGAATGAAGCACTTTCTGACTACATAAAGACTAAAAATCACCACCTAAACCATCCCACACTTGAGGTGGAATAATTGCTGTATCTCAGCAGCTTGCTGTCATACAATGGAACCCTTAGGATGTGTTGTCAGTTGTACGACTCAAAGGCCCAGTGAGGGATGGTCATCATTTGCTTTTCTTCATCACCTGCATGGAGGAGGTGAAATGGTTTGTAACAGGAAACTCATATTTGCTTGGGTTCTGCCCAGGAATTCAGCTCTCACCCAAGGATAGAGGTTTGGGATCAACAGCCCTAGAGATGGGTAAGCCACATTCTCACTCTAGGTCCCTGAGTACACCTTGTTCCTCCACTTCCTCATCAGCTCCGAGATCTGGGCTTCTCTTGCCCCTGTCCAGCAACCAGGGGAACGTTCCATTCTTCTCACCTGTGCATCCAGTTCCATGATGTGAGCCACCTTGTTCCAGCCAAAGCCTACAAACCTCCGGTCGTACTCAGGGCAGTCACGTCTCACAACAACGTATGGCTCGAAATCAGCCTCCCACTCGACTCGGTAAGGCGTGGTGGCAGTCCGCCACTTGGCGAAGTTTGTGGGTGCATGACCCTTCGTCCAGACGTGGTACCTGGGACACAGGGAGAAAAGCCCCTGGGTGAAGGCAAGGAAGCTGAGCTTTCAAAACACTAATTTGGAAGAAGAGGTATGTGCTGACACAGTCCTCCTTGTGGGCTGAATTGTATTCCCCCTCCCCTCAAAAGCAATGTGCCAGTCCTAATCCCCAGTACCTGTGAATGAGACCTATTTGGAAGCAGGGTCTTTGCGAATGTAATCAAGTTAAGATGACATCACATCTTAGGGTGTGGTGGGTGGGTGTTAATCTAACGACTAGACCTAGACACCCAGTAAAAACAGGATGGATAGATGTAGGCAGGGACTGGAAAGATGGATGCAAGGATAAGCCAAAAAAAGCAAGGGTCTGCTACCAGATGGAGGGGAGACAAAGGCCACCAAGAGGAGGGGAGAGAAAGGAGAGGATTTTTTTTTCTTTTACCTTAGAGCAGTGGTTCTCAACCTTGCTAATGCTGCGACCCTTTAATACAGTTCCTGTGGGTCATGACCCACAGGTTGAGAACCTCTGCCCTAGAGCCTTTGAAGGCAGCATGGATCTGCCAAAACCTTGATTTTGGACTTCTGGCCTCCAGAACTGTGAGCGACTACAATTCCATTAACCCAGTTTGTAATATTTTGCTGTGGCAGCTCCAGGAAACGAATCCAGTTGGTTACCTGCACCCTTCACTAACAAGGAGAGTCTCACTGTGAAAGGGTAAATGAACTCCTGGCGTGCTCCCTGTCATGTATAAGGTTGGCCTGCAGATACTGCTGTGGTAGGCAGAAGTCTAAGACGGTTTCATAACCCTCACCCCTTGTAATATAATCAATGGGCAGGCACCACTACTGGGATTTTGTTACCTTATATGGCAAAAGGGACTTCTGTAGACATAATTAAAGTTACTAATCAGTTGACCTTGGATTAATTAAAAAGGAGATTACTAGGGTGGGCTTGATCATGTAACCCTGCAGATTCAAACCTAGGAAGCCTGGGCTCAAGGGCCAAGATCCTTAACCACTTTCTGGATCACCTGTCTTATGTCTCTGTCCTCCACACTCTCTGGCCTACAGAACAAGTATTGGGTGATTATATACTAAACTGAGTAAATGGATGGATGAATGCATGAGTAACTCAACACCCTAAGAGGCACCTACAACAGAGGCCCATGAGTGGGATAGGGATGTGCCTCTGGAAACCACAGAGGTGGTGGCAGGAAGCTGGTGTCTAGGAAGGAAGTAGGCAGGAAAAAGTAATATCCAGAGTTAGAAAGAAAAGCTTCCTGAAATGAAGGCAAGACTGTAAGGAAGGAAGTGGATGCCTGGGTTCCATCTCATCCTTAGGGCAGGCTCTCGAAAGCAAGGGAGGCTCCCAGGGACAGCGAGTCTTCAGTGAAGCCTGGCTAGCAGCTCCGGCATGCAATGCACCTGTTTCCTGATTTTGTTCTTTCACCACAGATACTGGGCTTCCCTTGGACCTCAGGGGAGTGGCCAGTGTGGTCAACACGTGGACTTTTATCAAATGGTGTTGCTGCATGAGAAGGCCAGGCTGGGGGAAGTTAGGATGCTGAATCTCAGCTCCATCCATGAAACAACTACCAAAACCAAAGTCACTTAAATGGAAGAAAAATGACAGGTTGAGCAGCGTGACTTTAATGGAGTGTGAAAAAGAGGGATATTGTGAGAGATGTCAACCTCGGCTCTAATTCAAACATTAGGCCAAGAAGAAGTTGCTTTTCCATTGGTAAACTTACTGAGCAGGTGGTTGTGACACCTGATGCCTGAGACAGAACTGGCACAGCACGATTGATGGCCGTGAATCTATATCAGGTTCCAAGGATGGTGCCATGGAGCCATTGGGCCAGAGTTCAAATCCCAGCCCTGCCACTTAGGAGCTGAGAACCTTGCAGAACAAAGTTCTCTAACTAGGATTTAATTTCCTCTTGTGTCAACTGGGGGAAAAAATTCCTACCTGGTTGCAATGCCAAGGAGCTTAACTGAGAAAATGTGAAGTGCTTGGCATAGTGCTGGCATGCTGAAAGATCAGTGAATGTTAGTTCCCTAATAGGCAGTTTAACAAAGTGATTAAAAACCGTGGTTTTGGAGGCAGCCTGCCTGGGTGTGATTCTGTCATTCAACACGTGCACACAAGTTAACCGTGTCTGTTTCCTTCTCTTAGTAAAACATAGATGATAATAACACCTGCTTCACAGATTCATGATGATGAAGTGAACTAATTCACATAAAGTACTTGTGGCAGTCACTGGCATATGGTAATTCCTCCAAAATTGAGAATATTCTCCTTCTTATTTCTCTTTGTTTCCCTCCCAGACATGATGTCAAATCTTGGTGGTCTTGCTCTCTCAGCCATATTGACAGCCATTTTATGTGTCTGTGGAGGAATCTTTAGAACCTAAACTCTTGGTTGATTATAATATGGAAAAGAAGGAAAATGAACCGGGGAAGGCTGGGTGAGTCCTGTTGATTCGGCTGGGGAGGCAGCTTCCATCAGCTCAGCCTGGACACTGACAGCCTGCCCAGTGGCTGGGCAGCACAAGGTACGGTGAAGTGGCAATGAACCTGCCATTAAAAAAACCAGGCACAGGCTGAAAATGACCTGAAGATCCTATGGTCAGTCCAATAGATGCTAAACTTCAGGGATTGGTCTCTGAGACCGGCAACAGTGGGTAGAAAAAAGTGAGGAGATGATGAGAGAGGTTTCCTGGGTGTACTGAGCATGGTGCTGTGGAAGAGAAGAGATTTGGGGCACTTTGTTCTGTTCTGAAACTTGAGTGTACAGCAGAATTGATACAACCAGAGTTTCTAACAAGTTCCCAAGGGATGCTGAAGCTCCTGGTCCAGGGACCACACTGTGGAACCACCTCCCCAGAGGACTGGTAAGGGTGTAGATGCTTTCACATTCCAGGTGTGGTAGGGAGTAGGTTTTAGCTTCGTGGAGGTTTAAGAGCTCATTATTTAAAGAGCAGGTGACAAAAGCAATTTTGTGGAGGGAAGGTATGTAATTTAGCACTTGGCATGCTGGCTTGCAAGCTGCTGGCCAGAGTAGCAATCACAGACACAGCAGGCCAGGCCCTAGCTCTCATGCCCATGGACGTGACCTTGAAATGAGTTCTCCATTCACCTGGGGTTGGAGATGGAAGGAAAGATGCCTTGGATATGTGCCAGGTGTTCAGGCATCAGATAATGGCATCTGTGGGAGGCTCAGACTAAGGTTTGTTCTCAGAGTCTCAATTTCCAGGAGCAAGATTTTACCCTGCATCTTCAAACAGTCGAAAGAAAATTCAGCACTTGATCAGCAGACTGGTTGTATTTTGGTTAAGAATACAGGCTCTGTGGTTCCTTGGACTCTGCCATTTCCTGCTTGTGCATCATTGGGCAAGTTATTTAACCTCTCAGAGCCTCCGTTTTATTATCTGTGAAATGGGGATATAACAGTATCTGCCTCACAAGTAGGTGAAGATTAAATGGGTAGTCACAGATCCCGGCATATGTTAAGTACTCAGTAAGTGGCAGTGGTCATTTCTGTCTGAAAGGAAGCAGAAGCAAGTGGTGGGTGGTGGGATAGTAACTCTTCCTGGTCACTTTCCAGAATCCCGGGAAGAGGAGAAGGCAGGGATTGAGACCTGGCCCCACTGGGACCTCTCCTCTCCTCTGTCTCCTCATCTGTATAAAATGTGAAAAATGATAACTCCTGAATTATTGACTGAATCTCCTCCTACCTCACAGAGTGATTTTCACAAGAAAAAGTTCGAGAAAACTTTCTAGAAACTTTACAGTGGTATGAAAACCCGAAGTTATTATGACTGCGATCTTTGTGATAAAATTCCAATTGCCTAGAAATGTGTGCACGTTAGCTCAAAGGAAGGGCTGGCTTTAAAATCAGCAGGCAGAAGTGGGGTTTCTCTCCTGAGACTGCTCAATTAAGGGACCCAGCCGGGTTCCTACATGCTCCCCACCCTGGGTTCCAGATTGCTCCTCTCAACACCACGGCCCTTCTCTAGGCCATGAAACCCACGCATGGGGGGGCTGCGTAGTCATATAGACTCCCGGGTACTTGGGACAGTGATAGGGTAGCTCCTCTGCGATGTTCCTGCAGGACTTAGGGGCCTGGGAAATGAGGGTTCTATTTGCAGCAGTCACTCAGTTGATGGGGAAAGTCAGCTGCCATATCTGCTGAGCACAACTTTGGAGTCACCTTAGTGACCTAGAGATGCTGCAGAAGCGACTGTGGCACGTCCCAGGCCTTGGGCTCAGAGGACAGACCACTCACACCAACAAGAAAAAGAGCAACCGCCACCATGCCCCTGATGGAATGGAACCCCCTCACCAAATGGACAAATGGACAGTGTACACAAGAGAGAATTCCGAGCGAGAATGGGGAGCAGGAGGCTAAATGGAGTTTAGAAAAAAGGACAGACAGTAACAAGCTTAAGCGTCTTGCCCGACCATATCTACCCTTCCATCTAGATGGACAATATCTGTCGTCCACGCACAGAAAAATCAGACGGCACAGGGAAGAAGAGAGAGAGGATTCTGAGACTGTTTGGGGTGTGTGGGGCTATTTTGGCCTTACAGCAGACCAGGGTAGTGGCAAACTCTTGGCCCAGCAGCTTGGGCTTCCGGGTTTCCTGGGACTGAGATGGTCTCCAGGTACCCTCAGGGACAGCCAAGAGGGCCACTCACCTGAATGTGAAGAGGGTGCCCATGTCCAGCATCGACAGCAGCTCTGCTTTCGACTTGGGGAAAGACAGCCGATAGCGCAGGGTCTCAAACGCGGGGACAATCAGCGCTTTCTTGGTGTTGGCGAGGTCCAGCTGGATGACGGACTTCCTAAAAAGAGGGGGACAGGCAGAGAGAGGAATGACCCATGAGACCAGGCTTAGGGCAGACAGAGAGACAGGGTTCCTGTGACACCAGGCCCAGGGCTGCCCCGGGAGGGCAGGGTGATGGTTGGCCCTGGGAGATAGAGCAGCTCGCCAAGTACCATGTGGGAGGTCTGAGTGGACCTGAGGTCAGTCTGCTATACCTGAGACAGAGAGCTGAGTCTTATTGGCAGTGAACAGAGGCCAGGCCAGGCAGGAGGGGCCAGGAGCCCCCCATGACTGCAGTGTATGCTGCTGTCAGAGTCACGCACAGGAGAAGGTCTCAAACACTTGGCAGGCCTGTCCCCTGGGCTGGCCGAGCATACCTACTGCACCACTGGCCACACGAGAGCAGGTGGACAGAAAGCCACGAGAATCACCCAGGTACCACCTCTGTGACTCTGCAACACTTTGGAGCCCCCAGAGTCTTTGAAGTAGCCAGAGCCCCTGTGCCTGCAGGAGAGATGAGGCAGAGCTCTGGTCTCCCCCTGGGTGGAAAGTTCCCCATTGTCTCCCTGACGGCCACCTGTGCACCTGCCTTCTGCTGTCCTCTGAGACCCAGCTCCTGCCTGTCTTGTTTCGCCTGCCATTTCTCAGCTCTGTGGCTGTCACTTGGAAGAAAGGCTCAGGGAGGATCATACAGCTTTTAACGAACACAGACTGGATTTGAACCCTGGCAACGTCACGTTACGAGCCCCACCGACTTGGGTACATAATGCAGCTTCGTACCATGTCATTTCTCCCTCCCCAAAATGATGGCAGTGACATCTCCCTCCCGGGGCTGCTGTAAAGACTGAACTATGTAACGTAACACCACTTGGCACATCTGGCCTGTGCAGTCCCACAGCAACACGTGGTCACCACCCCCCCGCAGCACTGTCATACTCCATGGCCTGATCGCCTATGATCTCTTTTGGGGAAGGCTTTGCTGCTCCTTTCTGGCTTCCTGCTCGAACCACAGACCTCTGGGTCTCAATGTCAACCTGGCCTGTCTGCTTCTGCCCCCAACATAGACAGAGCAGCCTGTCTGGGGGAAGGCATGCTGAAAAGTATGGGAAGTGGCGCCCCCCGGGGAGATGACACAACTGTCTGTGGCTGCATTATTAAAGTCACTTCACTCAAGAAAACTCTGAGCGCTCGCAGGCCGGTGTCAGGCTAGAGCGGAGCACCTCTCTGAGAGGGATGTGGGCAGTGCGTGGTGTCCCTGAATGGTGACGGGATCCAGACCAGCTCAGAGTACGAACAGCTTCCTGAAACCACCCTGGTTAACTGCGCCTGGTGAAGAGTGGGGGTTGAGGGACGCACTGGAAGTTCATTTTGCAGCCCCCTGAGTATCGTTTGTACTTCCTTTTTTATCACTGTGCTTATGTGAACTATATAATAAATGACCCTTAGTCTTCCTGTCACTATTTCAGAGGAGGCGCGCAATAGGATGACAGCAAGGTAGAATGTGGCAAGCTGTACTGAGCTGTTCTGGGGGCTAGAGGTTTGAGTTAGCCTGGGTGTCTTGCATTCCTCTCCCCCTTAGCCCGTCCAAACGATGATGCCAGCTTTTCAGCACCTGAAAGTCCCTCCTCCCCAGCCAGGCCGTGACGTCAGCTGGCATTCTCCTTAGACAGCAACTCTTCATTAGCTAGAGGTGGAGCTGAGGTTAATTAACTTTCCCCCAAGAAAAGTGTGTGTCCTTATCTACTGATTCTGGGCGTTGGAGATGGGACGTATGGGTATAAATAATATCCCTGGGCCAAGATGGCAAAGGCCCTGGATGCCCCGGGGCTGGAGGGATGTGTCCAGTATTGATGTGCGTTGCTTCTCATTGAACGATCACTGACCACCTACAACATGCCAGCCACCTGCAGATACAAGGTAAACAAAACAGCTCAAGTCTCTGCCCACACGGTACCTACATTCTCGCTGTAAATGTTTACGGATGCTAAAAACCTAAGGTCAAGTCTCTCTAAATTGGGGCCCAAGATTTCAACTGCAGCTGATTATTTTAGGACAGGAATGCTATAGAAACAGGAGTAGAAGGCTGGGAGGGCTGAACTAAGAGGGAATGGGTGAAGTATACATAAGCATACACATACCTGCGGGATATAGAGATCTATACATGTGGGTGTCTCTATATAAGCCTCAAGTTACTATTATATTCATAGTTGCTATTATAGTTCATCACTTCTTGGAGAATAATTCCTGCTGAAAACTAATTCCCCTTCTATGGCCCCTAGTCAGAGAAGCAGCTCCCGCAGCTTTGCCCAGTGTACCTGAGCCCAGGCCAAGGCAGGTTGTTCAGGAGTAGACACTTGACCCAAGCTGAGCACATCAGGTGCAGAGATCTCATGTTGGACATCTCTGGTGGCTTCTAAAAGACCGCTGTGGAGGCGCCCAGAGCTGCCCCGGTGTGTTACAGTCTCATGCGCTGGTTTTCCTAGTCCAAAGGTGGTTCCCTAATATCTGCCACCCAATTGTTATTTGCTTTCCTTTGGTTTCTTTTTGCTTTAATGAAGCTACCTGGCATGGGTTTCTGTTGCTTGCAACTAAACAACCCTAACTGACACGCTGCAAGGCCCGGAGTACACAGTGAGCAGCTTGCCTCGCAAGGCTCTCTCCGCAAGCCCGAGACTCCCCCTGCATAGACAGCACCAGCTTCTGGAGTGCTTCCTGCAAATCCCTGTAATCTCACTAAAATACAAACTGACACGAAGAGGAATTTGTCACCAGATAGGTCCACTTCAGACTCAGTTCAAGGAGGTTCCAATATTGATATCCTGAAAGGGTCTCATCATGAAGTTGTTTCAGCAGTGAAGAGGCGCCAGGGTGCGGGCTCTGAGCACAGCTGTTGATGGAGAAGATAATGGCAGCCCGGGCCCTTCTGTGCTGTGCTGTGTCAGTACATCTCACCTCGGCTGCACCATCATTTACCTGGCAAGTGAATCCTACAGGGGACGGAGTGCTTCACGTTCAGAAGCTCCTAGGAGCAGAGGGGTAGGGTTGTGAGAAAGCTGGGCTGGGAGTCCAGGCACCTGATTTCTGGGTCGGGTCCTGACAAGCTGAGTGACATGGTAACTTCATTCATCTCCCTTAGATTGCTAGATCTAGGTTATTCAAATGGAAACTTTTGGAAGGCAGGTTGGTATAGTAGCAATCAGAGAAATGTGACTTGTACTTCTGACTCTACTGGAACTGTCCTCTGGGGCAAGTTACTCTAACCATTCTGAAAGCCAGAGTTCAGTCACTTGGAAAGTATGTTGATGGGGCCAAGCGCAGAGCTTCTGCTCGGTGTAATGCCTAGTACACATTGAGTGCTGAGTACATGATGCTTTGATGGTTGTGTGTGCTAATGGGCCAGGCCATGGTGGCCAGGTTCTTGGTCACATGCTTGTCCAGGTGTTGCTATGAAGGCATTCTGTAGATGTAACATCTCTAATAGGCGGATTAGAGGAGATGCCCTTTGATAATGCGGGTGGGCCTTGCCCAATCAGTTGAAGGGTTTACAACAACTGAGCTTTCCCGGGAAAGAAAGAATTCTGCACCTGGATGGTAACCTAGAATCCTGCCTGAGTTTCCCGCCTGCTGGCTTGCCCTGCAAATTTCAGACTTGCCAACCCCATCACTGAGTGAACCAATTCCTTAAAATTGCTAAGTATCTATATCTATATACTGATCTATATAGCTATAGATAAACTGATATTTACAGAATATCTAGGTACACTCTCTATATCTCCTATCAGTTCCATTTCTCTGAAGAACCCTGACTGATATGTTGCCCTGACCTTTGTTTCAAGATCCCTGGAGAAACATTTACAAACCTATCGCAATACTTCAGAACCCTTAAAAGAAACTGCAGGTGTCTATGTAAGTAACTTAGGAGCCTGCTGAAACATCAGAGAGACCTACAGATATGAGTCATTTGGAGCCAGGCAAGACCAGCTTCAGAACCTGCCCTCTCCTCTTTTCTGGTGACCTTGGGTGCATTGTGCAATCTCTCCTGGTCACAGGTGCTCCATCTGCGAACGGAGAAAGTAACTACTTCTCTCTTAGTGCCCAGAGTCTTAGAGCCTAACACAGTGTCTGACTTACAATAACTGTCTGATTAACAACCACGCCTCCTTCCCCTTTCCTGGCTGGGAATACTGGTGCCCCCACAGCAGGAGAAAGGGCGAGTGTGCAGGAAGGTTTGGAAGAGACAACATACCACTTACAACAGGAACAGATTTTTCTATGTCTATGAAAACGGAGCTTATTAGATATCAGTCTTCAGCCAGCTCTGAGTCCCTCTTTGTGTCAAAAACAATTCCAGTATTCCTGGCAGAGAGCATTCACCTCTTGCAGCCCAGCACAGCTGACCAGCAGGTGACTGTGAGCTGGATAGAGTTTAACCTCCAAGTCCCCCACTCCTTATCTGTGCATTCTCCTCCCTGGACCCCTCCTCTCAACCTGCTCAAGCATGCAAATAATTCATATCCCTTTTGGCTCCCACCTGCTAACAGTGGTGAGACAGCCAGGCCTCCCACGCCCATGACTGTGAGTGGACAGCCAGGCCTCCCACACCCACAGCACAGTGGAGCCTGCAAAGCCATAGAAACAGCCCGGAGGGGCAGACTGCTGGCCAGTCAGGCTCCCCTGGTGCTTGGAATCGCCAAACCCCAAGACTGATCTGTCTTTCTCTTTCATACACGCACATCTCTCCTTCCCTTTCAGCCCGATCCTTTCCCCTGGAGTTAGGTCTCTAACCAGGGAAAGTCCAGGATCCAGGCATGAAGAGATTATGGGAAGTGTCTCAGAAGAAGTGAGGAACCCTCACCTCCTTGGGGCAGAGGGGTGAAGGCTGAGCAGGCAGGATGCTTGGGTTTGCGTCCTCACCTGACCTCACCTCTATTCTGCAGTTTGTCCGTGGGGGTGGCGAAGACTGTTCATCTCAGAGGATGCTGGGGAGGGTTAAAGGGGTTGCACATGTGAGTACTCAGA